TCTCAGTGGCACAGCCTGAATGTTGGGCTGCCTTGAAATTTCCTCCACCAGAACAGTTATTCCACTCCCCTTACTCTGAACCCTCCCCAAAATTCTCAGGGCATGGACAAAGTTAGACTTTTTTTTTTGCCAGAGTGTAATATATATGGTATTTCATCTAGTTGCCAATGAAGTCCTTGTTCCCAACTGAAGCCTCCTGACCCTGGTCTTCACTATCCACTTTGCTGTTGGCATTCTCATCTTTTGAGGTCCAACTAGAATCAGCCATCAACCTCTCCATATAGCATTCTAGGGCTTTTCTAGCCCAATTTTCCAAACTTTTCTAAGTGCCTCCCACAAGCTAGTTCCAAAGGCTTCTAAACCACATGGTCACACACAGCCACAGCAAACAACTGTACTTCTCTGGTACCATTTTCCTGTATTAGTTTTCCCATCTCTGAGACACAATAGTAGATACCCACAACCTAAAAGAGGGGACATTTAGTTTGGCTCATGGTTTCAGAGGATTCAGCACATGGACAGCTGTCTCCAAGGCAGAAACCTCATAGCAGAAAGATGTGACAGAGCAAAGATGCTTAGCTCTTGGCACCCAGGAAGCAGAGCAGGGGAACAGTGCCAGAGAAAAGGGGGTCAGGGATCTATATAGTACCCACCCAGATACACCAAGAAGTGTGGTTTAGTAATTCTCTAGGCATCTCCCAAACCAATGAAGTTGACAAATTAAGCTTAACTGCTATACATATAAAAGAGGAATTAAAGTACATTTTGATAAGTGCATTCCATGAAGGTTTAAGCCTTATTGCTATCTTTGTTAAATATTTTCTCTGCCTGTGCCCAAATTGCGGGAACATAGCTTATATCCAAGTAATTATGTGATCTCATAAAACTCATTCAGAGATACACTCATTTACGTGGTGCTTATGATTAATAAACTTTGTCATACCATAAGACATTTAGTAACAAAACAAAACCCTGAACTATATGTATAATAAAAACCAGAAAACGTTAAAATGATGAAAGATAGTTTTGGGTTTTTTTAAATTAATAAAATATGAAAATGGCTATTTTGGGAGTTAAGGCACTACTTCCCTGCTTTTATAACATATAGGGCTTATTGTCTGTACCATACTCTGATTTTTAATTAGTATTATCATTGTTTCTCTGTTTGTTGAGGTTGCTGTGGGAGTCTATAAGACAATATTGGGAAAAGCTGTTAAGAGAGTGTAATTTGCCTCTTGAGGACCTCTTGCTGTCTTTCATCTTCTAAAGATGTCTTAAACTAGAAGCCCTGTTCTTTGAAATTTTCCTTTTCTCTTACTTCCCCATCCACAGTTAATTTCTTTGTCAAAACAAAACAAAACTTAGGCAAAGACATAAATGGAGATTGATTCTCTTAGGGAACATTTGCACTAATGATAGGAGTATATTAACATTAAAGTGCTTGTAGTTGATTTCTAATGGTGACATGGATAGGTGAGTAAAAAATTTTCAAGAAGGAAACCCCCAGCCTCTACCAATCATAATAAAATAAAGAGTTACCATTAATGAACCCTTAATATTTGTCAGGCATTAAACTAAGCACTTTATTATGTTCTGGTGAAGTATGCAAACATAGCAAATTCTTTAACTCCAACTACCCTTTTCCTTCATCTCTTATAGGCAGCCTTTCTGTACAGGCACCTGAAAAAAGATGTACCTAAGCGTAGTCACTTAGCACAACTACCACCAGTGTTAGAGATCTTTAGTTCTCTGATTTTCAGCTCTTGTGTAAATGGGGTGGGAGAACTAGGAAGCATAGATAATAATATGAAAAAAAGTTATATTCAGTATTATAATTGCTTTAATTTTTAATGTCACAATTTACTTTGAAATTTCAAATAACTGTGAAGGAAGTCATGAGATATTCATGTTTCTCACAGCAAGCATGGATGTCAAAAGATTATTTTATTTTTATTTTTTGGTACTAGGAATTGAACTCAGAGCCTTGTGCTTGCTACTGAGCTACAAAAGATTAAAGTGTTGCGGTTATTCTGTTTTGAGGTTCTCTGATTCCGATTATGTACTAGAAATTTATAAAGAATGCTTTTTAATTTTATGTATTCTTATTTATCCTGTTTATGGTTTTATTACTTGAAGAAAGCAACATTAAACAGATTAAAAAGGTTGAATTCTGTTATTTCCCTGTTACCTCAATTATAATTTACTGTTTTTGTGGGAATGCTGATGTGTGAAAACAAGTGTGCTTAGTATTCATAGGCTCTAGAATTAAGGAGTAATTTTTTTTAATTGTCGAAAACAACTTTTATTCAAGTAAAACTTAAAAATAACATGTGTTCATTTCAAGATATGATGCCAAGTCTTGAGAAATGAATATACCAGGCCTGGGATTTAGCCTGAGTTCAATGCCCAGTACCAAAAAAAAAAAAAAGAGAATATACCTTCATTAAGACATAGAAAACCTCCATTACCTCAGAAAGTTACTTTATTTCTCTTTCAGTCATTCCTACTTTTCCTCTAGGCAATCACTGTAGTTTTTATAGCTGTCACTTAGTTTTTCCTCTTCTATCTTGGAATCATCTTTTTCTGCATCTGGCTTTTCTGATTCATCCATGTTTGTTGAGTAGTTGACTGTGTATAAATAGTCTTTTTTCCCCTCTTTTCTTGGCAGTATTTCATTGTAGAGATACAGCACAATTGTTCATCTGTTAATGGTTGAGTTGTTCTTAGGTTTTGGTTTTTATGAACAAAACGTCTGTGAACATTTGTACTTTATGTAGATATGAAATTTCCTTCACTTGGAAGTGAAATTGCTAGGTCATGTGTAAGTACATGCTTACTTTCATAAGAAGTTTCCCATTTGTTTTCCCACACAGTTGTATATACCCACCAATGATAAGGGAGTTCCAGTTTCTCCATATCCTTGGCAACACGTAGTATTATCAGTCTTTTTATTTTTAGCTCTTCTGGTTAATGTACTTTCATTGTGGTTTTAATTTACATTTTTCCTAATGGTTGCAGATGTAAAGCACCTTTGCATGTGCTTATTGGCCACTGGTATATCTTTCTAATATGTTTATTTAAATCTTTTACTCATTTTAAGATTGATCTTTCATTATTGAATTGTAGATTTATTTTTTAAAAAATATAATCCAGTACACATCCTTTCTCTGATATTTGTATTATACTGTGAATATTGTCTCCCAGGCTGTGGCTTGCCTTTTTATTTTCTAAGTAGTATCTTTAGAAGAACAGATGTTTCCAATTTTGAGTCTAGTTTACCTGTTTTTTTTCCTTTTATATTTGATGCATTTTTGCGTCCTATGAGATCTGTGCCTATCCTAATATCTTGAAGATTTTCTCCTATATTTGCTTTTGTTTGTTTGTTTGTTTTTTGGTACTGGGGATCCAACTCAGGTCCTTGCGCTTGGGAGGGAGGCGATGTAAGCACTGAGCTAAATCCCCGGCCCTACTATATCTGCTTTTGAAAAGTTTTATTTTTTTAATATTTAGGCCATGATCTGTTTTAAGTTACCTTTTGTGTAGAGTCTTAGTTCAAGTTTCATGTTTTCTAAATGGAGATCCAGTTACTCCTGTCTTTTGTCTTCAGTAGGTTTACATACTCATGACATATCATTATTAGCAAGAATATAGAATGTTAAGAATATATCATTAATGTACAGTCCTAAACATACCCTTTGTCTAGTCACTTTCTTATTGCTGAGACAAAATACCCAACACTCCCAACTGAAATAAGGCGAAACTTATTTTGGCTCCCAGCTTTTAGAAGTTTCAATCCTTAGTTGGCTGGCTCCAATGCAGAAATTATATGGTGGAAGGACCTGGGTGGAGGACACCTGCTCATCCCATGGCAGCCAGGAAGCAGAGGGTCACTCTTCCAGTGTCCTGCCTCTTCTGACCAGGCCCCACCTCCTCACAGCACAGTTAGTTCTGAACTCATTAGTGGATTAGTCCCCCATGATCCAATCACCTTCCAAAAGCCCCACCTCTGAAGATGTGAGGTTTTGGGGGAGCTTTCTAGATCCAAACAATAGCATCCTTTGTGCACCATACTTATTCAAAAGATTGTGGTTCTTTGTATAAAATTATTCAGAAGTTTTTCTTTGTTAATCATCTAGTTCTGTGTTATTTTACGCATTACATGTTTTGATTTGGGTGAATGTTTGTTTTCTGCAAAGCTGAAGATATACCTTAAGTCTGGCCAAGACCGAGTTAAGGGCCTTTAGATCTGATCTGTGATAAAACAAAACTGATTAAGGTTCTACTCTGGGTCATTCCTTTTCCTTTGACTATAGTCCTGTTTCTCTCATTGCCTAGACAGTTTTCATTTGCTGTTTTACTAAAAGGAAAACATATTCTCTTGTGGGAATCAGGTAGGTACTATATATGAAGAATTAGTTGAACTCACAGATCTTTCTTTCCCTTTTCATCCTTTTCCTGCTTCCTGTTTATTTTTTCTTTGAGCCAGTTTTTCTTCCTTTGAACTCTTCCCTTTCTCTTTCCCTTTTGGAAGAATAGCCTCAGGTCTCTGCAAACCCTCCTTTCTTTGTATAGTCTTTTCCTGAGTTTAGGGTTGATGTTTCCATAGGCTTCCAGCCTACTGTCTCAAAATGTTTGATTTTCTTGGGTTAAATACCAATTAGAACACAAGTCAGAGGGGAAGGATTTTATATTACAAATACATAGCATAAATGTGAATAGGCTTTCCTTTTAACTGTCTCATCTCTAATACTTAAGCAGTTATAGTTTGCCACAGCTGTTTTTAATCTTGGAGCAATTCTATGCTACCTCTTTCCCCATGAGAATCCAATTTATAAGACTCTATAATATTCTTTGGTTTTATTCAGTGCTTTTTTTTTATATATGTGGGTTTAATGAGCTATCTTGTGTTTCTCCAGGTAGAAAACAGTTTATTTTTAATATTTAATCATTATCTTTTTCTATTTTCTCTTCCTTCTCTTTACTCTGTGGTTCTTGTGCAGGTCTTGTTCAGCGTTGTGTGATCATCCAGAAAGATGACAATGGATTTGGGCTGACAGTCAGTGGAGACAATCCAGTCTTCGTACAGTCTGTCAAAGAAGGCAAGGCATTTTTAAAAACAGTTTTCCACTTGGAAGCAAATAGAGTAAAAGTAGGAAAGTTTAGAGTCTATTGCTTAGAATGGAATAATTATACAGATTGCAGGTCATAGGGACTAGATTTGTCTGTGGTATTATAGGAATGAAGATACTCTAGTACTCTAGTTGATTGTCTTTTTTTTTGGTACTGGGGATCGAACTCGGGACATTGTGCTTGCAAGGTAGGTGACCAAACCACTGAGCTAAATCCCCAGCCCCTAGTTGATTGTCTTTTTACAGTTCTTAGTTTTAGAAATCATGATTCCTTGGTCATGATACTTTATATGTCATCACTTACAGATATTTCTAGAATTTCATTTCTTCACAGCACCAGCAGTATTTTGGTAGGGACAGATTAAAAAGATGATTATAGGCTCAAAAATAGAAATTCTTTTCCCAAAACAGTAGTATCTTTTGCTGTTACCATATATTCAATACTTCCTTAATGTTGGGTGCTATAATTTGAGCTAGATATTTTTTTATTTCCCATTTTATAGGTGTCATTGAGGCCCAGAGTAAAACATAAAACATAAATCAACATAAAACATAAGTCAACATAATACAAATAGTGAGTGGCAGAGGCAGGATTTGAAACTAGTATGTCTGACTTAACAGCCCATGTTTTCAACTGCTTTGTTACACTATATCTCTTTTGAGAAAATTATCAGTGAATGTAAAGGAAGCGTATTTAAAGTAATTAATGTCTTACACAGATGGAGCAGCCATGCGGGCTGGAGTACAGACGGGTGATCGAATCATCAAGGTAAGGAAAAGACTATTTAGGAATTCATCACAGGATTAAAAAACAATGCATATTAGCTTTTTTTTTTTTTTTGTACTGGAGATCGAACTCGGGTCCTTGTTCTTGCATAGCAGGCAGCTAAACCACTGAGCTAAATCCCTTGCCCTTATTAGGTATATTTTTTAAACTTGGAGTTTTGTGAAAAGCAGCACGTTACATGTGGATCAGTTGAGTATAAAAATTTACTTCATTTTAAGTTAATGTTACCCTTCACTGAAGGATATAAAAGGTTTGAATAAATGGAGTTATATATGCTCTTGGGTAGAAGAATAAATCACTGTTACAAGGACCATTTCTTTCCACACTAATCTGTTAGCAAGAAATTATCATCAAAATATACATACAGAGTTGTGATAGTGTATTGTTACTTGTCAAACTGATTGTTCTTATAGATGAACTTTACAAAGATACAAGACTGGAGAGGGCTGGGAGTATAGCTCAGTGGTAGAGCACTTGCCTGAAATGTGTGAGGCCCTGAATTCAGTCCTCATCACTGTAAAAATAAAAATACATGGTGAAGAAAAAATTGTATTATGTATATGGATATGTATGAGAGGAGGTGGTATGGACTCATTTTAAGTATGTGACACTACTGTAGATATACCTTGGTCATAGAACATTATAGTCTAGAAACAGGCCTTGAATTCTTTGTAGAGAAAGAATGGACTGACTAGTACTTATTCTTGAAACAGTTGACTAACTTAATTATCTAAAATCAAACTATTATATTGGAAAAGATATTAGGAACATATTTTACAAAAATAATTTTTAAAAATATTTGAATGCTTTATAGAGTGTGATATCCTTAATTGAAAGAGAACTTTTTTATTACTAAGAAAATAATAATTCTAATAGAAAAGTGAAGATTTTTATCAGGCAAAGGCTATAGTAATTGAAGTAAATAACAATTAATGAGGATATGTCCAATCTCAGTGGTAATAAAAGAAGTAGAAGTTAAAATAATAAGTGAAAAATAGAGTCTGCCGAAAACATGTATATACACTTCAGGAAAATAAAATCTTGTATAAATATTTTAATACTAAATTTATTGAGACATTGTGAGATTGTACAAGTTACCTTTGGTCTCCACAATTACAAAAGTTTCTCAAAGTAGTGGCCATTAGCTTCCAGACATTTGTTAGTACAGAAAACTGCTGCTTGAATAACCTTGGTCATTGAAATTGCTGCACATGCATTTTCAATATCTTCTGTAAAGCGTGGCAGTATAGAGGTTTTTCTGTGATATTTGACATCCTCTATAGTTCCCCATATGAGGGTATCATCTATTACAAAAACATCATACTATTTTTCTTTGCTTGAAGGGTGTACACAGTTTTTGGGGCAGACTCTGTATATTTTTTTACTCGGAAATTAAAAGATTGATAATACACACTTGGCATAGTATGGGTATAATAGAATGGCTCCTCTTACAAGTTTGAGTATAAATTAGGTAAAATCTATTTGGATAGAAATTTATGAGTACATGTCAAGAGCCTTTAGGAAAACATCTCATCTTTGACTAGAAATTTCACTATTAGGAACTTATTCAAGGAAATAAGCATAGAAATGGGAAATGGTATGTGTACAGGTATACAGGAAAATACATTTTGGCTTTATCATGCTGAAAACGTGTAAATAATCTGAATGTGCATAGACTGAGGATAAGAGAAATTGTATTTCAGCTGCAGCCTATAGGAAGAATGGATTAGGCCTGTGTGTACCTATAGTGAAGGTAGGCAGAAAACAGTGCAAAAAAGGCACTTATGATATGTATGTGTATGTGTCAGTCTGGTATTTGCATGCTAGAAAGGATCTCTTAAGATTAAACATCATAGGGCCGGGGATTTAGCTCAGTGGTTCTGCCGCCTGCCTTGCAAGTGGAAGCATCCAAGTTCGATCCCCGGTACCAAAAAAAAAAAAAAGATTAAACGTCATAGTTACAATAGTGACATCTCTGGGGAGCATGATGAGTATATTTTTTTTAGTGTATTTTATACACATATATTTGAATAGCCAAGCCTGACTGGATTTCAAGTAGGCCACAGTCAGAGATTTTTTTTTTCTGCACTGGGGTCTGAACTCTGGTCCTTGAGCTTGCACAGCAGGCAGTGAAACCACTGAGCTAAATCCCCTATACACATATATTTGAATGTTACATTAGTATTATTTGTATCAGAAATATTAATGTTAAATCTGTTTGATATTTTTACCTTAGTTTAGTTTAATTAAGACTTTGAGTCACATTCTTTTTTTTTTCCCCCCTTAAATTCTTTTATTGGTACATTTTAGGTATATAATACATTTACATTTATCATTGGGAACTTGTACCTTTACATGATGTTTCTTGGTTCTTATTTTTTCCCCATTCCCTGCCCTCCCTTCACCGCTTTACATTTAGGCTGTCTGAAGATTAATTTTCTTTGTAAAAATTATACCATGTTTGGAAAACTAAAATTGAGTATTATTACGGAATATTGATTATTTTTCATTATTGTTTTAACGTATAATTTTGACGAATCAGTGAACTGGTAAAAGCAAAGGTATCTTTCCTAATTACACTAGTTCTTCACTGTGAAGAATTTGTAATCTGTTTTGTGGCATATTTTATCATTTGTCATGGGAAATAGTTATAATGTCCTGTAAGTCAAGGCCTTATTTTGTGTTCAAGTTAATTTTGTTGCTGAATAAATCTTATAGAACAGCAATAAAAGTGAATTTTGTAATTACCTTTAAATCAAGGCTTTATGTCCTTTTTTGTTTTTGGATATAACTTATAGCATAGTGATAAAAGTGAATTTTGAACCAAAAAAAAAATTTTGTGTGTGTGTATGTAGTACTGGGAATTGAACTCAGGAGTGCTTTATCACTGAGCTATATCCCCTGACCTTCTTTAGTTTTTATTTTGAGACAGGGTCTCGCTAAGTTGCCCAGGCAGGAACCAAACTTGTTGTTTCCTGCCTCAGCCTTCCTCTGTGCTAGAATTACAGGCAGACCCCCACTGCACCTGGCTGGAAATGCATATAAGTATTTTAATGTAACTTTATTTATTGTATTATAATAGATTATATTGTATATCATAATTCTTAAAGTCAGTTTATTCATTGTTTCAATAGGGTATGTCAGGCATACACTATTTTCATTTTCTTGTAGGTGAATGGAACTCTGGTGACTCATTCAAACCATTTGGAAGTGGTGAAGCTAATCAAATGTAAGTGAATGTTTTTCTCAATTTTTAAATGTTTTCTGATGCCCTTAAAACAAGGATCAGCAAACGTTTCCTGTAACAGGCCACATAGCAAATATTTTAGACTTTGTGGGCCATGTTGTTTATTTCTGGACTCTATTGTTATAGCACAAAAGCAACATTGGAGAAACTGAGGCTCAGACCAGTCAGAGCCACTTCTTGTCTTTTCAGGGTCAAAGGTGGAGAGTGCTTCACCACACTGGCACTAAGCCGTGGTCAGAACAGGCTTCTGCAGGGCCTCAGTTTCCCTATCTTCATAGGCAGAAGGGAGTGTTCAGTTATCCTATAATATTTGCTTAAAAGTGGTGATAGGATGCGTATTTGAAATTGTGGAGTTGAGTGAAGTCTGAGCACCATATCTTACAGTCCCTGGGCCTCAGTTTCACTTTGTTACTGTTAGCCTCACCTGCTTCCCAGAAGAGATTTTACATTTTCTAATTATTTCACTTATTGCATGGATAATAACACCACCATTATAGCAGAAGTAGAAAAAGTGACATAGTAGGAAAAGTCCTCTACCTAAAACATAGCTATTCTTTCTTTGTTCTGTCTTGATTGGAGCTCTGTGTATTTGTTATTAGGTCTCACAAGAAAAAAAAAGTTTAAAATAAATTGAATGCAGTAAAAAAGAATTTATGATCTTTTGCCTCAGATTCTTTCATTGTAAATTAGAACTAAAATTTAATTATTTGTGGCCAAGCAGAGTCACTAATATTTTACTTAATTCTATTTTATTTAATCAAGTAGACAGATGTCTTTTTCTTTTTTTTTTTTTTTTTAAGTTTTTTGAGATAGGGTCTTGCTGTGTAGTCCAGGCTGGTCTTGAACTCTGTAGTGCAAGCTGTCTTTGAACTCATGGCAATCCACCTGCCTCAGCACCCCCAAGTGCTGGGATTGTAGGTGTGTGCTACCACACCCAGCTGAGTAGACAGACATCTCTAGAATAAATTCAGTAAATTTAAATTCTTTCTTGACCTTATAGTTTAGGTTAAGAAACACTGAACTCCTTTGGCTTTTCATTAGGGTATCAGTGTTCTAAATGGTCATTTCGATCATAGTTATTAACTTTAGCACATTTTAAAAGAAATACAGTGATCAGAGTTAGCTTCCATATCTGAATAAATCTGGATAACTAAGGAGATTGTGACTTAATGTATTTTTGCATGCTACATAAATATGATGGTTTATATTAAGAAGTAATCCCCGTTGTCGGTTGTAGTTTATAAGAAGTAAGAATATCTCTTTAGCTTTCCAGATATTTTTGTTTATTCCAATATAAATTTTTATTTAAAAATTATATCTTAGCATTATAGCCGTAGATCACTTGTCCAGAAGCGAGGGCATAGCTAAAAATTTAAATATAAAACATTCTTGAGTATCCAAAACAGATATAAACTTGACATGCCTGAAACCTGTGTAGTTCACTTAAAATAACTTTCTCATGGCTTACTTTTTAATACTATTCTACACATCACACATGTGATTTCAAATTGCTGCATTTTAGAAAAAGCTAAAGAAGGGAAGGGAAGAGCTAGGAAGCTATTAGGGCAATCATATAGGCAAGTAAGATATGACTTTTTGACAGAGCAGTAAGACTGAAAAGCCTTAGAAAGTATTTATACTTAATATCTGCTCAGTTATTGATAATGATTTCTATGGGAGGCTTAAATTGGGAAACAAGTGTGAAATACATTTAAACGTTCTATTGAAAAGTCTAAGAAAAAAGTTTCATTTAAAGATCAGTTATTTTGAAGTCATTTATTTGGAACATCTCATTTTTTGGTGCAAGATAATGAATGTTTATTGTTGAGTTTTTCTGATTATGTTAAATTTTGCTGTCTAGATTTTTCCCCTCCTGTAATATGTCTAGTGAATTTCTGTTCACTTTTCTAGATTTTTCAATTAAAATTTACTATTTACTGGGCCAGGTGTGGTGGTGCATGCCTGTAATCCTAACATTTGGGAGGCTGAGATAGGAGGATCCCTGAGAGTTCGAGAGCAGCCTGGGCTACATAGTGAGTTCAAGGCCAGCCTGAACCCATAGTGAGACCCTGTCTCAAAACAAAAAACAAACAAAATTTGCTACTTAATTGCTTTTTCTTCTTTTTATGGAATATATTTTTAGTCATATTTATTTTGTAAAGTTAATTGCAAATTGTATTGTTGTTTTTCAGAATGTTAAATAAACCCTGCCTAATTAGTACATCCTAAAATATAATGATTTTAAAATTTACATTTTAGAAATTACTTGAACCATACCTATTAGTAGGTGATTGATGTTAACCATCTCTAAATTAAGAAAATATATTCTTGGGGTCAAATTTTGTTGCTTTTAAGTAATATCTAATCCTGTGAGTAGTACTTTGCTATCTAAAAGTGTTGTGGCATTGTTCTTTTTGATTTTTTAGACAGCTATGAAAAAGATAACATAATGTTTTCTTTTTCTGTGGAGAAATAATTAGCAGATGATAAGAATTTCTCACATAATATTTTAGAGGTGCTAGATTCAGTAGCAAAATGCTATATTAAGTTCCTTGACAGTGTTATCTTTCTATCCCTTTCTTTTTTACCATCTCTTCACCCCAAGCTGGTTCCTATGTAGCTCTCACTGTTCAGGGACGCCCACCTGGGTCGCCCCAGATTCCACTTGCTGATTCTGAAGTAGAGCCATCAGCCATTGGACATATGTCTCCCATCATGACATCCCCTCATTCACCTGGAGCATCTGGGAATATGGAAAGAATCACCAGTCCTGTGCTTATGGGGGTAAGGCCAGGAAAAGTTTGTTAGTAAATACTTGGTTATATAAGGATATATTTGCTTCATATTAAGAGTTTTGAAGAGCCAGGTGTAGTGGCACACACCTGTAATCCCAGCACCCTGGGAGACTGATGTAGGAGGAGTGAAAGTTTGAACCCAGCCTATGTAACTTAGCAACTTAAACAGTCTCTGTCTCAAAATGAATAAAATTTAAAAGGAACTGGGGATTTAACTCAATAAGACCCTGGATTTAATTCCCAGTGTTACCCCAACCCCATCAAAAAAGGAAAAGAATATTAAAGTATTGAATTGATAAACAAATTCAAGATTCTAGAAAATAACTTCGTAGTAGACAAATTATGTAGTAATTTGGAATGACTACACTGTATTGTCATGTACACCTACCAGGAACAAAACAGCGTGCCACCCACAAAAATAAAATTAAGATACCCTATGTTTGAAGTCTTTAGTCATCTTAGTATGTATTCTTTAAGAGGACAGAGGGGCCAGGGATTTAGCTCAGTGGTTCCTCCACCTGCCTCGCAAGCACAAGGTCATGAGTTTGATCCCCGATACCCCCCCAAAAAAGAGGACAGAGGTGTTTTATTTATTTTCTTAGTGTTTCTAGTGCTTGATTATATAATAAATCTTTGCTGATTGAGTTTGAATCAAAAATATATAAATAACTATAGTACATACTATATAGGTAAGTGTAATACAAAAGGCAGATTGTAGACATTATGGGGGAAAAGCATTAAGTTCTGTGAGTATTCAAAAGAGGAAATAAAGTACATACAGTTGTAATGAGGATTGCCTTCATGGAAAAGTATTATTTGAATTGAACCTCAGAAGACATAACATTCAAGTACTATACAAGTAATATCTCTGTTCATGAATGCTTCTGTTTGCAAACAATTCAGTTCACAAAAGCATAAGTCAAAATTTTGCTTCTATTTGTAAACTACACATCAGGTGACAAACACAACCATGACCATCTTCGCCTCGCAAACACAAATGTAGCCATGTTCCCCAAAACCATAAAACCAATTAAGTTCGTAAACCGAGGTACCATTGTAAATGATAATGATGGAGAGCAAAGCAGCACAAGTAACAGAAGCAGAATAAATAAAGACCCAAGAAGAAACCAAATATTTTTAGTAGTAGCTATTACTTTTATTTGGTTTGTACCCGTTACAGAGGTACCTAGTAAGAGATGAGCTTCAAAAATAATAGATTCCCCATATATTTTTTATAACTACCTTTCTAATTTACATGTAGCAGGATAAGCTTAGAAATCCACTAAACATTCTTTGGAGCAAGAGAATAACATGATTATAACATGAGTATAGGAAGAGTAAATTGGTAAAATATTACAGGGTTGTGAAATAAGGAGAGATGAGTTAGGGAGTTGTCTTCATTTTTCAGGTAAGAGACACTGGGAGTTTGAGCTCTGCATGAGGATTATGATAAAGATTCAAAAAAGGAAACTGTAAGATATTATTCTTGGACTTACAGCAATTTTAGATCTCTAACTAATATGAATATTTAGTGTTCTCTTGAACTCAGTGTAATAAAAGTGAAATAGAAATGCCCCCATAGCCATTTATCTTTTTAAGTATTTTACCTGAAAGCCTGTCTTCATAACTGCCAGGAATAAAGAAAATCCTAAAAGGTATTGATAGTTGGAGCTGAGATAGAACATTGTCTACTTTGTTTTCTCTGTTTAACTTTAATTTCCCTGTATTGATTGTTTTTTATCCTTTTCTAGGAGGAAAACAACGTGGTTCATAACCAGAAAGTAGAAATTCTGAGAAAAATGTTACATAAAGAACAGGAACGGCTACAGGTACTAAATTAGAAATGGGGCTGTTGACAGAACAATAAAAACGTGAGTGGGCATATTTGAGTTGGTGTTTATCATAATCACAATCAAGTAGAATTGTAATCAGTGCCACCGACTACTTTATTGATTAATAATGGACTTTTTCTATATTTTCATGCTATAAGTAATTAATTCTCAAAATATTTTTATAACTTTCCAGTTATTGCAGGAAGATTACAACCGAACACCTGCCCAAAGATTGCTAAAAGAGATCCAAGAGGCCAAGAAACACATTCCTCAGCTGCAAGAGCAGTTATCCAAAGCCACAGGCTCTGCTCAGGTAGCATCACTATGAAAAATGCTACCCAACTTTTTGCAGGAAAATTTTCTTCTGGGAATGTGTCAGAGAATGTTGAAGTTGTCTTTTCAAAGTGATTTTTCTAGTGTAGGACAGCATGTCCTGTGTAGATGTTATAGAACTAGTGATTAACAAAATCAATTATGGGCTTCTAATTGTTGCTTGCTGAAATCACTCACTTTTCTTTATTCCATCGTAATTTTGTTTGTTTGTTTGTTTTTTGGTACCAGGGATCCAACTCAGGACCTTGAGCTTTTGAGGCAGGCACAGTGCCACTGAGCTAAATCCCCAGCCCCTATTCCATTATAATTTTGAAAGCAATTGAGTGCTTTACTTTGATGTAACAAACTCCAGGAATGTATTCAGATGAATGTAGTTTTTGTCTCATTTGCCATCTTAAAACAGAATGGAAGTTAAGTAATATTTTTAAGTAGAAATGTACTGTTTTACAAAATAGCAAGCATTGTGCTAAGTGTATGGATAAACATTCTTATATTTAATATGCAAAACCTCTGAGCTGAGGTATTATTGTTTTCTCGGATTCTGCATGTACAGAGAAACTCAGATTAAGCAATTTAGCTGAGGTCCTGTAGCTCAGAAGGAATAGAACTGGAATTAAAACCCATTCTGAGGATTTTAAAGCACATTTGTACCTTAATGACTACATTTTTATTGTAATTTAAAAGTGGATTTCAATAGAATTTGTTATGGAGGTATAAATTATAGAGATAATACTCTCAGCATTTATATACAATCAGACATATTCTATAGTATTCATATTTAGAATATATAAAGTTTTCTATACTGTATCTTCAGGGAAAGTGGACAAATTGTGTATATATTTAAAATGGGTAAAGCCTGATGATTTAGCATTATTCTTGAATTAAATCTGAGAGGAAAGCCACATAATTCATAGAACTAAAAGGATTCTTTGAGATCATCTAGCGTAATGTGTTCATTTTTTAAGTTAAAAAATGATGTTGTATTTAAGAAAACTAGGGCCAAAACTAATTAAATTACACATTCAAGGTTATGAATTGTGTAAGGTCTTCTGACTTCCTGGTTTAGTGTGCTTTTCATTGCACATTTAAAAAAATTATTTTCAGTCTTGGTTATGTCACATTTTGAGCAGTATGCTTCCATAGCATTGACAGTTTTACATGGTTGTTATTGAACAAAGATAATACTTTTATCCTACTTAAACAGTAAAACTGTGCTTGCTGATCTGAAAGCTTACAGTAATTTATGTTGTAGCATTGTATCCCACAATTGGCAACTTATTGAAACTCAGAAGCATTGGAAGGCAGTTAACCAGAAGTTATATTGTAATGATCTCTACTAATGGACAAATAATGTAAATTATATGAATTAACAGATTTTGGGGGGGGGCTATATTTTGAAGTTGGAACTTTTACTCTCTACTAAAATATCACTTTCCCTGTCTTTATGATCATACCATTTTAGAATCATAGAATTAGTAGTTATTTATGCTTTTTACTGTAAAACTTTTTAAGCATTCTTAATCACACCATAGTATCCAACTTTTAGCAGTCCCCAGGTAAAACACAGTTTCACTGTATTTCTGTATGTGGTCAGTAATGAACATTCCCTTCTCCCCCCCCCCC